TAGCTCATTGATTAGCCTCGTTGATGTGAGACTTTCTCCTTTTTTGTCTTCTCCACACAATCCCCATCATCATATTCTATACCACCCATAGTGCTATGTCCATGGCTCGCGCTCATGTATTGCGTGAAGGTTGAAAAAGTTTGAGATTATATGAGTATGAAACAATTTCTTGGCTTGTCATCGGGGGTATATAAGTTGGGAACATCTTTGTGTGACGAAAATGAAGCATAGCCTAACTATATGATTTTGTAGGGATGAACTTCCTTTGGCCATGTTATTTTGAGATGACATAATTGTTTGATTAGTATGCTTGAAGTATTATCATTTTTATGTCAATATGAACTTTTGTCTTGAACCTTTCGGATCTGAATATTCATACCATGATTAAGAAGATTTACATTGAAATTATGCCAAAGTATCACTCCGCATCAAAAATTCTCTTTTTATCATTTACCTACTCGAGGACGAGCAGGAATTAAGCTTGGGGATGCCTGATACGTCTCCAACGTATCTATAATTTTTGATTGCTCCATGCTACTTTATCTACTGTTTTGGACTATATAGGGCTTTATTTTCCACTTTTATATTATTTTTGGGACTAACCTATTAAACGGAGGCCCAACCCAGAATTGTTGTTTTTTTGCCTATTTTAGTATTTCGAGGAAACAGAATATCAAACGGAGTCCAAATGGAATGAAACCTTCAAGAACGTGATCTTCTCACCGAACGTGATCCAGGAGACTTGGACCCTACTCCAAGAAGTTTCCGGGGAGGTCACGAGGGTGGAGGGCGCGCCCGCCCTAGGCGCGCCCCCTGCCTCGTGGGCCCCTCGGAGCTCCACCGACGTGCTCCTTCCTCCTATATATACCTACGTACCCCCATTAGACCAAAGAAGGAGCCAAAAACCTAATTCCACCGCTGCAACTTCCTGTATCCACGAGATCCCATCTTGGGGCCTGTTCCGGAGCTCCGCCGGAGAGGGCATCCATCACGGAGGGCTTCTACATCAACACCATAGCCCTTCCGATGAAGTGTGAGTAGTTTACTTCAGACCTTCGGGTCCATAGCTAGTAGCTAGATGGCTTCTTCTCTCTTTTTGGATCTCAATACAATGTTCTCCCCCTCTCTCGTGGAGATCTATTCGATGTAATCTTCTTTTTACGGTGTGTTTGTTGAGACCGATGAATTGTGGGTTTATGATCCAACTTATCTATGAATAATATTTGAATCTTCTCTGAATTCTTTTATGTATGATTGAGTTATCTTTGCAAGTCTCTTCGAATTATTCGTTTGGTTTGGCCAACTAGATTGGTAGTTCTTGCAATGGGAGAAGTGCTTAGCTTTGGGTTCAATCTTGCGGTGTCCTTACTCAGTGACAGAAAGAGTTGCAAGGCACGTATTGTATTGTTGCCATCGAGGATAACAAGATGGGGTATTTATCATATTGCATGAATTTATTCCTCTACATCATGTCATCTTGCTTAAGGCGTTACTCTGTTTTTAACTTAATACTCTAGATGCATGCTGGATAGCGGTCGATGAGTGGAGTAATAGTAGTAGATGCAGGCAGGAGTCGGTCTACTTGTCACGGACGTGATGCCTATATACATGATCATACCTAGATAACCTCATAACTATGCTAAATTCTATCAATTGCTCAACAGTAATTTGTTCACCCACCGTAGAATATCTATGCTCTTGAGAGAAGCCACTAGTGAAACCTATGGCCCCCGGGTCTATTCTCATCATATCAATCTCCATTACTTTATTTTACTTGTTTTGCTTTTACTTTTCACTTTGCATCTATATACCAAAAATACCAAAAATATTATCTCTATCAGATCTCACTCTCGTAAGTGACCGTGAAGGGATTGACAACCCCTAAGCGTTGGTTGCGAGTTGCTACCATTTTGTGCAGGTATGAGGGACTTGTGCGTGACCTCCTACTGGATTGATACCTTGGTTCTCAAAAACTGAGGGAAATACTTCGCTACTGTGCTGCATCACCCCCTCCTCTTCGGGGAAAACCAACGCTAGCTCAAGACGTAGCAGATCTCGAGGTAGATCAACTCTGTACTCGATACTCCATCAATATAAACAAGAGCAGGACGTAGGGTTTTACCTCCATCAAGAGGGCCCAAACCTGGGTAAACATCGTGTCCCCTGTCTCTTGTTACCCATCGATCCATGATACACAGCTTGGGACCCCCTACCCAAGATCTGCCGGTTTTGACACCAACACTATCATCCGTAATAAGCCAGGCAATCACATACATCATCCCGTGACTAACTCATTAGTCATTTGCTTGCAAGGCTTACTATGATGTGTATTACCGAGAGGGCCCAGAGATACCTCTTCGATACTCGGAGTGACAAATTCTAATCTCGATTCATGCCAACCCAAACAGGACACCTTCAGAGATACCTGTAGAGCATCTTTATAATCACCCAGTTATGTTGTGACGTTTGATAGCACACAAGGCATTTCTCTGGTATCCGAGAGTTGCATGATCTCATAGTCAAAGGAATATGTATTTCACATACATGAAATCAGTAGCAATAAACAGAGCAATCAAATGCTAAATTAATGGATAGGTCTTGTCCATCACATCATTCTTCTAATGATGTGATCCCGTTATCAAATGACAACTCATGTCCATGGTTAGGAAATCTTAACCATCTTTGATGAACGAGCTAGTCTAGTAGAGGCTCACTAGGGACATGGTGTTTGTTTTTGTATTCACACATGTAAGGTTACCGATCAATACAATTATAGCATGAATAATAAACCTTTATCATGAATAAGGAAATATAAAATAACAACTTTGTTGCCTCTAGGGCATATTTTCTTCAGAAACACCATACTGTTAAAGGGGGTCTAGGTGATACATAAATCGTATTTCCGGGGTGATGCTCAAAACCTATACAAAGCCTAATTCTTCAAGTGAATACTTCGAAAATCTCCGGCAGTGCTGACAAATTTGTCAGAGACGGAGATGCAGTTCTTCTGGTCACTGACAAATTTGGTCTGACTGTTAGGATTTTGCCAGAGCGATCTGCATACTGTGAGGAAATTGAGTGCCCGACGAATTTGAGAGTCCAAATTTCGACCGTTGTTGTGCAGAGTGACAGCCGTCGAGTGAATCCTTATCCTGAGAATTGTCATGTTCCAAGGGGCATTTATGACAATTTATGTCGGGTTGCCCCTGGCTATCAGCCGTCCCCCACAACTACTAGTTGGTTGGCTGCTCTAGAGAGAAATTGACACTTGTCATTTGAGAGCAACCCTTCCTCTGATGACTTTATGAGAAACCCAAGTGAGGAAAAACCCAACCAGAGCCAAAGTGATTGAGCATCACTAAAGAGTTTGATCTGGGTGATCCGACGCCTATTACCTTTGAAGACTGTCATTCTTCCAGACAGTTAGGCGTCATGTTCTGAGCACCCAAGAGTACTTGTGGTGTACCAGTGAACGAGTCTATGAAGGTTTTGAAAGTTTACCTTAAAGACTTACCACGAGTGATTGGGCGAGGTCTGTTGTGACCTTAGCTGAAGACGAATACGGTGAAGACTTAGTGTCTTCGGAGTTCATTCTCAGCCGCCTCAACCGGACATATAGTTGATACAACAACTGGAACTGATCTATCAAATCATCGTGGCATCGCCAAGTCTACCTGGTTTCACATTCCTCAACCCCTTATTTCTGTTATTCCGTTGTTGAAGAATCTGTGATCTACTTACTGAAGAATTTGAACCGAAGACTTTCATCATGTTGTTTTTCATTTCTTCAGTACATCTTCCGTATGCCAGAATGCTTGTATGATTGCACGTTTTTCACTTGCATCTATCTTATATGTATGCTTTATGTTTCTGTGATGAATTAGTGTCGCTCCTGTTTTTATTTCTTCACTCTGATCTTCGTCAAATTTATCAGAGTTTGACGAATTTCTAAAAATTTCCGTTCACCCTCTCTGGGAGTAAACCCGCGCTTTCACCAACACATCCGCGAGTCATCAAAATGACCCAACAAACCTGACACAATGCTCGGCCAGATAGAGCCATTTGTTAGTGACCATATGAATGAAACCCTCAACCCCAAGGCCTCCAGCGCCTTACCTCTCTAGGTGTTTATCATCGGCGCCTATGACGGTAGGGTTAGAAGGCTATTGCCGGGGCCAGTGGCCTACTTTGACACGCAGGCATGACCGAATGACATAGCTGGGGGTCTACGACCGCTGGCGATAGCCCATTAATCCTACCTTCGGGGTATTTGGCGGTAGCAAAAGGGGTCAAATCTGAGCAAACTTTAAAACATGGTCAGACAAGGTCAAAACAATTTTTTTGGCCTGCAAGGCTGACCGCTGCATGCACCCTCCTATTAATCCGTTTAAGTCTTGATCTTGAAAAAAATCCCCCCAAATCAGGGAAATCAGATTGTACGGGAATAGGAGCTTATTACTACCTTCCATCTTCTAATTACGAGACTCTTATTTTTGTTCAACCGCCATTAAACTTGTAACCAAATTAACCCCCACCCTTCCAAAAAAGAAAAAGAAAAACTCAGCCTTCTCTTCTTTTACAGCCATGGCGATGTCGACTGCGGATGGTCGAGATGCCATCTAAACAACGCCCAACCATCAACGGTCCGAGGAGCCCAATATAACAACAGCGAAGGCGGGGCAGTCGAGCACTCCAGTCCACCTCCGTTCTCTGTTTCAGTGTCTTGTTCCCTCTCCCCGATCTCGGCTCCTCCAGGCCTCGTCCTCGTGCACTCCGCCGCCGCCAGATCGAGGCACGCTCGCTCTCGCTCCCCCCTGTCCTTTGTCACCTGCAGAATCGAATCGAATTGAATCCTCCCCCCATTCACCCCTGCTGTCGAGGGATCGCGTGCGCGATGCGACGGCTCTTCGCTTGATTCCGTGGCGCGCTTGCGTGTGAGGTGGCTGACGCTGGGTTGCTTGTTCTGATTTTGCAGGTCGGAGCTGGGCTTTGGAGCGGCCATGGGTTCAGACCCCAGAGGTATTGTTTCCTCCCAGCTTTTTCCAAGGCAATGAGCTGCTCACTGTCAGTAGTTCAGTGAGACTCAGTTTTTCTGTAACTACTACATAAGCGATCTGCATCGAAAGGATTGTGGCCTTGACTCGGTTCAGATAAACACATTGATCTAAGGTGTTGATAGGCACCAATTGGCAGTCAGTCTTTTGTTTTAATCCTTATTCGTACTTGCCAATGATATTGGTTTTTGTTTTCTTTCTCGATCCTTGGCATATTTGAATTATGCTGTGCGGTTGCCAGTATAACATACTCCATGAGTAGTTGATATGCTTACGCAGCATACATGGTGATAATGTCCATCATTGACTATAGGCTAATTTCCCTTTTCCTCCTCTAGATCAGCTTGGTTATCTTTTTTTTTTTTGCTGCATTACCACTGGAAACAATTGATTCCAACCGCAAGAAAAAGGAAACAGTTGATTCGCTAGTAGCGTGACATCATGCCAGATCACAGATTCTTATATTTTTTGTTTGGTGCCTTGCGCAAACTTGTACAAATAAAGAGAAATCTGGCATCTACCAGATGGCTTCCCTGATCTTCAGTGTTTAGTCATGCCTTCAGAAGTTCAGAGTATAATCATGCTCTGTGTAGTTAGCAATTGCATGGGAGCCTGCTAGATGGTTTTGCTGTATGCTGCAATTAGTAACTTTTCCTTTTATTACTGACAGATGTATGTGTTGTTGGGGTTGCACGCACCCCTATGGGTAGTTTCCTTGGTGGCTTGTCTTCCTTGCCTGCTACGAAACTTGGCTCTATAGCAATTGAAGGTGATATCAATACTTTCTCTCTGTGTACCCCAGATGGTATACTTTGTTCGGTTTGGTAACATCTTAATATTAAAATAATTACCGGGGTGATCAGCTGCTCTGAGAAGAGCAAATGTCGATCCATCCCTTGTGCAGGAGGTCTTCTTTGGCAATGTCTTGAGTGCTAACTTGGGGCAAGCTCCTGCAAGACAAGCTGCTTTAGGTGCAGGGATACCAAATACGGTTGTTTGCACCACAGTCAACAAAGTTTGCGCATCTGGCATGAAAGGTCTGAATTCTTGTGACCATGCTTGTATAATCTGTGTACTAAATTTCCTGAAGGGAACCAATTTTTTCTGACCATGATCCGTTTTCCTTCCTTTCTATACAGCGACCATGTTTGCTGCGCAATCAATTCAACTGGGAATCAATGACATTGTTGTGGCAGGTGGGATGGAAAGCATGTCGAATGCTCCGAAATACATCGCTGAAGCTAGGTCAGCCAAGTGTTCTTCTGGTTCTACTTTTGTGTAGTGCATAAATGAAGTACGATCATTTTCTTGCATACACTAAGCATACTAGGGAATACAATGCCAAAATATCTGTTCAAAATTTTGTGTGTCAGACCTTAAGTTTAGATTGCCTTTTCAGTACTCTCGTGTCGCTCATTCATTCATTATTTATTAACATGTTTACACTATATTATGTTCTTGGATCTTGGTTAACATGGATTTAAAACTTTACTGTTAATGTATGGCTGTTTACGTCTTGGTGTTGACTTACTGATTTGTGCAATCAAATGCAGAAAAGGATCTCGTTTCGGACATGACAGCCTCGTTGATGGCATGCTTAAGGATGGCCTTTGGGATGTATACGGTGATTGTGCCATGGGAGTGTGCGCTGAGCTTTGTGCTGACAATCATGCCCTGACAAGGGAAGACCAGGTAACTTGCCACAAATTGCAATAACCATATTCTGATGTAATTATAATTCTTATATTTGTCTAGTGCCAAAAGGGCACACATTGTCTTAGTTATTATGTACGGAGATTCAGTAGCGGTGAAGATTAATACCAAATACAAAAGTGCACATACAATCAGTCTTTCCAGTGTGAACTGATCACTGCCATAATCACCATTTTCATGCAGGTTCATTGTTTTATATCTTTTTTCTTCATCCCATAAATCATCATGTATGCTTTGAAGCAATAGCTGCAATTCTGCATTACTGCCAGTGTCTATTATCCACTATTAGTTTGCACTACTAGTTAGGGTAGGTTGAGTAAATGATCCTTCGTTGCTTGCTTCGAACATGATTTCACATATTTTGTTTGTATGGTTGCTTGAGACATGTAGATATTACTTTTATACTCCCTCCGTTTCTAAATATAAGTCTTTTTAGAGATTTCAGTATGGACTACATACGGATGTCTATAGACATACTTCAGAGTGTGTAGATTCACTCATTTTGCTCCGTATGTAGTCCATATTGGAATCTCTAGAAAGACTTATATTTAGGAATGGAGGGAGTATTATCTTATAGGTTGGTCTTCCGTGCAGAACAATATGCTTTGCACTTTAAATCACTTTGCAATTAGTTTTTGTAAAAAATTCTAAGAAGGGTGGGCCTTGCGCATCATAGATTATCTCCATTTGTTTCCTGGGTCTGGGATTGAATCAGCCTCCTTGCAAAAAGAAAGGCAAGGGAAGTGCTGCCTAGAAATTCCGTTCCCCAGAATCTGTGGGAGATTTCGGTATTGGGTACTCCCTTTTGTGTTTTATTGTTGTCGTCGGTGAATTTGATATACCAGCGTTAAACCTGTCGGATGCCTCCAAAATCTTCTAAGATTCGCTGTTTTGTTCTTAATCTGTAATCCATATATTTATTATTCGTGACATCTGAAATTTATATGTTCTTTATGTAGGATGCATATGCTATTCAAAGTAATGAGCGTGGAATTGCTGCTCGTGACAGTGGTGCTTTTGCATGGGAGATTGTTCCGGTGATTTTTCTGTCTCTTTGGCAAAGTAAGAAACTGTTCCTTTATTTGTTTCCCTAATGTTCTATGTCCTATCATCCAGATTGAAGTTCCTGTTAGTAGAGGGAAACCTGCAGTACTTGTTGACAAAGATGAGAGCCTAGACAAGGTAAATTTTCTAATAAGATGGCACAAATAAGCTATAAACAAGAAGATTATTTGGGGCAGCATGTATCTGGTCCTAATGCAGTGCTTTCACGTACTAGGCTAAAAAAGTACTAATAATCAGTACGTATTTTGTTGTTGGTAAACATTTCAATACTTTATCTTCATCATATAGTTAACTGCAAGAAGGAAAATATGTAGTTTGCATTTATTTGTATCTTGTGAATAAATGTCTAGGCTCTCATCTGCATCATATAACTATTGTCTGTCTCGTAGTTTGACGCAGCCAAGCTGAAGAAGCTACGACCAGCATTCAAGGAGAGTGCTGGTACTGTTACTGCTGGAAATGCTTCTAGTATAAGGTACCTGCTTGTTACTTATTTTATTTACAAGCCTTTTGAAGTCCTTCTGTCACATATTGTTTTGAAACCACTGCATGATATTCTGAAAGATGTGGTTTTCCTTCTTTCTTTCTATTTTGACATTTTATACTTTGTTCTACAATCTACACTATGCATTTAATTTTATTTGTGTTATTGTTGTCCTGCAATGCCATATTCAACTGCTCTTTGTTTCCAAGTGCTACTCCTGTTTAACATTTATGTTTGGGCGGCTCAGAATGTTTTTACTTCAGCCCAAGAGATGGTATATATTATTTTGTATTTATAACTGAAATTGGTTCATTTTCAAGAAAAAAATTGCCGAGGTTCCTATTGTGTATTAAACTTTTCAAGAAAATGCAAATGTAGTGTCTCGATGCAATGTTTATTGATAGATTAGGAATCCTCATATACATTAACTTCCTAGAGAGGCCAATCAAGGAACGCTAAGCTAGAAACTAAGTACCTGCACTGACTGTCTTTGACGGGCATTCTATGTACTCCCTCCAACTTCGTCGTGTGTTTGTTTATGCACTGAAAAATGTGATGCATCTGCACTGAGTAACATCTGTTTTCTTTTGAGTGGAATAGTGATGGTGCTGCAGCATTAGTATTGGTGAGTGGGAAGAAGGCTCAAGAACTTGGATTGCAAGTCCTTGCAAGGATCAAGGGATTTGCCGATGCAGCCCAAGTAAGCTACAGTACCCTTTTTTGTTTATCTTAGCTGGTAGTGAGTACAATTATAGGCAAGTGCATATAATTATGTAGGTTCTGGAAGGTTACAGGAGTCCATCTTTCCTGGAATACTTTTATGTAATTGTAATCAGTGAAGGTTATTTGCTACCAAAATTGAATCCCTTAATGATATTTTTCAATTCCCATGTTACGCAGGCTCCTGAACTATTTACCACTACCCCAGCACTTGCCATACCAAAGGCTCTCAATAATGCTGGCCTAGAGTCCTCTCGTGTTGATTTTTATGAAATCAACGAAGCCTTTTCGGTATCTCTTGATCATTTCTGTTTATTTCTTAGTAATTAGTTAATTACATTATTTGAAATGGTATTTATTTTTATTTCTGAAAACAGGCTGTTGCACTTGCAAATCAAAAGCTTCTCGGAATTCCTTCAGTAAGTGCTTCCTTGTTTCAACCAAAATTACGTTTGCACCTGAAAATAAGTCAACATTCTTGCCAGAAACTAAATCTTGGTTACTGTGACTCGCTATTAACCAGCAATACTTATTAATCCGATTACCAGATGATAGTTACAACTCCCATGCTGACAACGGCTATGCTTGCAGGAAAAGATAAATGTACATGGAGGAGCTGTATCTTTAGGACACCCACTTGGGTGCAGTGGTGCTCGCATTTTGGTCACCCTTCTTGGTGTAAGTTCTTTCTTGAGGTGTTGTTTTGCATTTTGATCATCCGTGTCAGTCTGTTTTTCAGCATGGATCCTATTTTCTAGTAGAAGCTATTTCATGAGTAAATAATGATATCAAGTAGTAATCATAGGAATAAACATCTTGCCTGCAGAATACCACAAACAATAAGGGGTAAGACATTTTTGTTACAACTATTTGGCCATCTTCATGACTCCTTTTTGCGTCCAAAATATATGCAGAAAGGAGTTTAATCTGTAACCCGTACAATTGTTCCACATTGAGGCTTAAAAAGGATATGTGGAAGTTATATTCCGTGATTTCATTTACCATGTCTTCAGTGGTTCTATCCTCACTTGTTCAGATGTTGTCAGCATCTTAATTAGGTCATCGTGTCTTCAATGCCCGTTTCTCATAGTTCTTTTAAAATTAAACTAAGCAATACGGTGTTCTTTCTTCTCAATAGGTTCTTAGGGAGAAGAGTGGCAAGATCGGAGTTGCTGGTGTCTGCAACGGCGGTGGCGGTGCATCTGCGCTCGTTATGGAGCTCGCGTAATGAGCTCTGACACCAAAGATGGAGTCTGCATGTAAAATTCTATGTACTGTATTTCATAGTGCTGTGTCAGATTAAGTAATTGATTAACTTAGAACTTGTGTGCCGGTTTCTGATCTTACTCTAGATTGTTTTTATTTTATTTTCTCTTGTACTACTCCCTCTGTCCGGAAATACTTGTCATCAAAATAGATAAAAAGAGATGCATTTAGACGTATTTTAGTTCTAGATACATCCTTTTTCATCAATTTTGATGACAAGTATTTTCGGACGGAGGAAGTAGCTGTTTTGGACATTCTTGATTTAATAATGATAATAATTGTTGCAATAAAGCATTATTGTGCTACCAAAGGTACTCTCAGAAAGTGGTGGTTTTGTCCAATGATGATCGAGTCAAACTTAATTTTGGAAGAAAAAGTATCTTCTACCCTCTCTTTGTTTATTGAACTTTATCTTCTACCCTCTCTTAGTCTCTCCTTTGCCAACAATCTCGGCTTATCTACCCTGCCCCCTCCCTCCCCCGCGTCACCCTCCTCTGACGACACCCCAAGACACACCGCCCGCCACTCTACCTTGCCGCGGCGGCACCCTCCGTTGTTGGTCTGGCGGCGGGGGATCCGGCCACCCCCGGGGTGGCCTGGCCCCACGCGTCTCTAGCCGGTCGCGGCCCCCTGTCTCGCTATCCTCGGTCGCAGCGAATGCCCCTCCCTACACGCCTCCCCCTTCTGCTCGCGACCCGGTCTCCTTCCGGCGATTCTCGGGCCCCCTCCAACTGCTGCTCGAGCCTGCCGGTTGGCGGTGATGGCCAGTTGCGGGGCATTCACGGCCTGCCCTCCCGTGCAGGCGCCCCCCTTGTCTCCGACGGCCCTCCCCCAAGCCACGATGATGGCTCTCGCGCAGAGGCGTCGACGTGTACGCGGTTGTGGCTGGCTCTGGGCCCCTCGCGGCGTGTCTTTGCTTGTGATGTTCCGTCCCCGGCGGCTATAGCCCCGCGTCTCTCCGGTGTCCCTCGCTGCCGGCGTCCTCCACCGGGTTGCTCCGGCCCGGCGACCGGGTAGCTGCGCCCCTTCCAGCTTATCTGGCTAATCGAGATCATGACGGTCAAGGCCACGACAACTCGGATCTGCGTGCTTTCGGTCCTTGCTTGCCGGCGTCGTTGGACGCCGTCGCGGCAAAACCCCCACGTGGTTTGCCTCGTCGCCCACCCTACCGTGTACGCCTCAAAGCCCCCTTTTGCCAAATCTTGTGCTCTTGGGTGCAGAGGTGATGCCACCCTCCGAACGGCAAGTGCAGCCCCGCCAACCCCCCATGACTCAGTGATTCCAACCAGTGTTGGCCTCCCATCTACGTGTTGGGGAACATAGTAATTTCAATAAAATTCCTACGCACACGCAAGATCATGGTGATGCATCGCAACGAGAGGGGAGAGTGTTGTCTATGTACCCTCGTAGACCGAAAGCGGAAGCGTTAGCACAATGCGGTTGATGTAGTCGTATGTCTTCACGATCCGACCGATCCAAGTACCGAACGCACGACACCTCCGACTTCAGCACACGTTCAGCTCCATGACGTCCCGCGAACTCCAATCCAGTAGAGCTTCACGGGAGAGTTCCGTCAGCACGACGGCGTGGTGACGATGATGATGTTCTACCGTCGCAGGGCTTCGCCTAAGCACCGCTACGATATGATCGAGGTGGATTATGGTGGAAGGGGGCACCGCACACGGCTAAGAGATCAAGAGATCAATTGTTGTGTCTATGGGGTGCCCCCTTGGCCACGTATATAAATGAGTGGAGGAGGAGGGGGCCGGCCAAGAGGAGGAGGCGCGCCCAAGGGGGGGCAATCCTACTCCAAGTAGGTTTTGCCCCCCTTTCCTATTCCAACTAGGAGAAGGGGGAAGGAGGAGGTGGAGAGAAGGAAGGAGAAGGGGGGCCGCGCCCCCTTCCCTTTCCCAATTCGGATTGGGGCAAGGGGGGCTGCGCGCCACCTCCTGCTGCCTCTCCTC